CAGATCTGACTTGATGGCAGTGCGTTTTTTTTTTTTTTTTTAGCTTATTTTATACATTTTGTCTGTATTTAAAAAATTTCAACACACAGCATTATGACTTTTGGGATTAAAAATATACTTTTTAAAAGCATCTTAAATGCTATTGGCATGCAACCATTCCTGATATATTTTTTGAAATAGGTGAATCCTTTTCTGAAATGAGTGTTGCTAAGGGATACGTGGGAGCTCTGGTAGCATAGTGCCTAAGGCACTTGACTGCTAACCAGAAGGCTGGTGGTTCAAACCCACCAGTCTCTCCTCAGAAAGAAGGCTGGGCAATCTACTTCTGTAGTGATACCACCTCGGAAACCCAAGAAGCGTTCATTATGAGTTGGATCTGACTCCACGGCAGAGCATAAGGGGTACATATCTAACATTTTTCAGCCAGAATTCAATTGTTAACAATGTTAAGAATATTGTAGGACATGTTAATGAGGAACTAATGCTAAAGCTTTCTTGCATTATCTCACTTAATTCTTACAACACCTAGTATGACACCTATCATCTCCATTCTCCACACAAGGAATCTGAGGCTCAGAGACACAAGGAACTTGCCCAAAGTCATGCAGATTACAATATATAGTGCTAGTTAGCATTCTGCCCAAAGCTCCTACCCTCACCCTCTTGGTCACAATAATAATGAGACTGAGTCTGGCTTATACCCCCTCCACTCAATCATTTAAGTGCTCACAGTTTGAAAGCAAGTCTAAGCTATGATTATTTTGGGATGACAAGATTTAAGAACAAAAGATTCAGGAGAAACTCAGATTTACTTTCAGACTTGGATGAAGACACAAAGCTACCCTAATTACAAGGTAAAATAACTGCCTGCAGTAGCAAGCTGAGAGACATGGCTTAGATTCATAAAGACAAAATAGTACGTGACTTTGTATATAAATTTGCAGATATATACAATGAGGTAAATCATGTCAATGTAGACCTAACGATAACACAGAGCAGGGGTTAGCGAACTTTTTCTACAAGATCAGATAGTAAACGTTTTAGGCTTAGAAAAGTGACATATGAGGCAACTGTATTTGCTTACTGCTTTGATTGACTAACTTTGGAGGCAAGTGTAGAAATGGAATATAGTGCCTTGATGAGAAAGTCACTTACCATGTGTGCATTCTGGGGTGATATCTTCAAAGAAATACTGAGTTGCTTCAAAAGCAGAATCCGGCTCATCTTGATCAGAGGATGGCTCTAGAAAGGGGAGGAAAGATACTTCTTTCTCATACTGGCAGGGCCACGGCTCAACAAAAGTTATGTTTTGCTTTAATTATTCAAGAAAATGACAGAGAGGATGATGAGAAACTAAGTTACAAAGGTGGGGCAGGATTACATTGGAGGGCCCTGAATGCTGCTGCCTCTAAAACCTTAGCAGTAAAAGGGGTATTGTTCTTGCTTCATTTCCAACTCCAGCTTCCTTTTTAATAAAGCCTACAAAAAAGTGTCCCTTAAATTTTACATGATATGTGGAATTTTCTGAATTCTGTGAAATGTTTTGTATGTTTTACCTGTATTTTAAAAAATTCAACACTAAGCAGTATTGTAAGAAGCTCTGGTGGCATAGTAGGTAAGACATGTGGCTGTTAACCAGAAGGTCAGTGGTTGAAACCCACCAGCTGCTCTGTGGAAGGAAGATGAGGCAATCTACTTCCATATTTACAGCCTTGGAAACCCAATGGGGGTCACATTATTGTGGAAATTGTGTGCTATAAACATAATCCCCAAATCTATATTGTTGTTGTTAGCTGCCATGGAGTTATTTCCAACTCATAATGACTCCATGTATGCAAAGAACTGCTCCATCATAGTTTTCCCTATCTCTATCTTTAATGCTAATGCCTCCCCCCCCCATATTTCCTAGTTATTTCTATCATGTCCTAAACTGTGCCTTTCAGATCAATAACCAATGTTTATTGATTGGCTTAAATTGAGGCCACCCACGTTGAAAACTGTACTCCTACTACTAAAACCATACCACCTCCCTACTTGTGTTAATGTTAGACTCACAATCTAAGTCTCTTAGGCTTTCTCTCCTTCCAAATCCTTGTATCCATGGGTTGCCAAGTGGTATTCATTTGTCTACCTGCAGAGGTCTGCTCTTAGTACCACAGCTATTATCTTAAAACAGGTAAATGAGCAGAGAACCAAGCATAGGTTGGTTCAGAGAAACTATAAATAGTCCAGTATTCCATTTGTTCTTAGTGGCCAATGAGTGATTTTGTGTATCTAAAAGAGGCAAAAAGCCCATGCCAAAACAGAGGATTCAAGTTGGTTCACGATTACAAGTACATATGCTGCTCTGTGTTGTTCACTTACCAGGCAAGACGTGCATTTTGTACAGGAGTTTGAGTTTCTCTGTAAGGTCCCCATGGCACGCAGCACCTAGAAATCAGAAATACCAATGTCAAATGCTCTGTGTGTGTCAATAGCCCCTCCAGGCTCAGAATTCCTCTGAAAGGGCTATTATTTTACACGTTTTAAATAACACATTGTGTGACAGAAGGTCCAGCCAAAGAATGTTTGGGTTAAGACTCAGGCTCTGGAGCCAAGATGTTGTTGCTGTCAGCTGCCATGGAGTCAGCCCCTACTCATGGTGACCCCATGCACAAAGGAAGGAAATGTGCTTGGTCCTGTGCCAGTGCCATGATCAGTTATGGCTTGGACATTTGTAACCTACAGGCTTTTCACTGGCTGATTTTCAGAAGTGGATTTCCAGACATTTTCTTCTAGTCTGTTTTAGTCTGGAAGCTCTGTTGAAACCTGTTCAGCATCAGAGCAAGGACAAACAAGCCTTTACTGAGGGACAGGTGGTGGCTTCGCAGGAGGTGCACCGGCTGCAAATCAAATGGAGTCTTCCACTCAGAAGGCAAGAGTTCTACCACTGAACCACCACTGAGTTTCAAACTCTTTGTACTTACTATGTGATCTGCATTTAGTCAATTAAATGTTAATATTTATTTTTGTCTCTTTCTACATGCAGGACTTAGCCCTTTTTCTTCCTCCTTATTCTTATCAACTTGACAGCAATGAGTCCTTTGGTTTTATTTTTATCTAAAGATAATTTTTTAAGTCTCCTCTTTAATATCAGTTATTACTTTGGGGGCAGAAGAAATTAAAACTAGAGTCAAAGGGACCTTTAGCCTTATCTGTATTATTACTAAGGAGAATATATTTATGCATTACTTGTATAGTTGAAAATTAATACCTCCTCCAAAGAGGCCTTCCTTTTTGCAGTCCTTAGCATAGAGTGGTGAGAAAAGGATGAGCCTTCACAACAAATAGCCTCCAACTGGATCTTGGATCTGCCATGTACTAAATTGTTCCTTTTGGTTCAGTTCATACTCACTGACTGGCTAAACATTACTCTCCTATCAAGTTACTTAACTTCTTGAGCCTCCATTTCTTTAGCTGAAAATGGAAATAATAATAGTAAGCAGGGAGGTCACTGAGCATAATACCACCACCACAAACTCTGCTTTCAGGGTCAAATCCCAGCTCTGCCACTTTGCAGTTGTGTACCTTCAGGCAAGCTAAATTCACATAAAATATTAGGGCAGTGCCTGGCACAGAGTAAATGCAACTCAAGTGCCAGCTATCGTTATTATTATTGTCTTAAAGGGTTGTTGTTTGGATTAAATTATATAAGTTTTAAAATATTCAGAACAGAGCCTGCACTCAATGCATGTAGTCCCTATCCCACCCCCTACCATGCCCAATCTCCAAAATATATACATGAAGACTTTATAAAAATAATTTTCTTAACCTGCTTTTTAAAATCATCATTTTTTTTCTGGCCTATAAGTCCTCCATACATTACAAGTTTAGGGCACCCTTTGGAATCATCATCGGAGCTATGTGCAAGCCTTATCTTTCCTTGGGTGTGTCATTCATTTTAAAGTACACGGCCCAGGGTTGCAGGGGGGTACAATCAGAATAAAACAACTTTCCTTTTTACCTCATTCTGACACCCTGACATAATGTTTGTTTAAGCCACAACTTCATGTGGGCTGGAATAAACTCTACTACCATGTAGATTTTTTTAAAATCATAACTGGAACACAAATTCAGTAAGAATATATGGTAGTAAACAAGTCAGCCAAGAGTTCGATATAAAGCAACATGCACGTTGTTTGTCTCAAGATGGATGAAGCTTCCTCCTGGCAACATGGAGAGAAAAGCCTTCCACTCAGATTGGAGAGCTGCTGTGGCCTTTCAGCTCTATGTTAAAACATTGTGAAATGTTTTTATTAAATATTATGACTATATACATAACATAAATATATATTCTTTTAAAAGTCAATCTACCCAAACATTTCTTTTTGCTTCTTGTAAAGTTTTCGTGGTCTGTGGTTTCAGTGTTTATTTCAAGCTAGTATTTCATTATCTTGCCAATTCTCTGATACTGTACTTTTAACTAGTGTTGAGGGCTGTCTAAGGTAGAAGGCAGTGATTTATCCATATAATATATCCATTTAGTAAAAACAGTTTGCAAACCTTGGTATGTGGTTCACTCTCATCTCAACTCAATCTTCTGAGGCAGTGTAGACTATGGCCCTGGGGGGCAGCACTGATGACCACCAGGGTTACCACCTCATTGCAATCCCCTCCCCAACCCATGCAATAACACCATGTCCTTACTTAGCCCAGCGACAAACTCTCGGAAATTAATCAGAGAGTCTCCATTTTCATCTAATAGCTGGAATAAGCGGGAGGCCAACACATCAGAGTGGGTTCCACACGCCCAGGGGAAAAGAAGTGCAAACATCCCCTTGAACTGCTCAAAGTCAATGCGATACTGTTCCAGATAAGGCAGGCTGGGGTCGTGCCGGTCCAGTGCGTTGCTGCTCCCACCCCAGTAGCAGCTGGTTAGATGTTCTGCCTAAGAAACCAGAGAACAGAATGATTACTGGTGATTCTGTCTCACAGCAAAATTCAGGAAGAAAAGGCCCATCTCCATGTCTGGAGAAAGGCTCCCGGTCAACCTGTGTGCATCCCCTGGGGCGGTGCTCCTTCTCACAGCCTTTCTATTAATCTCCTCATTGTACACATAACTCCACCTAACTACTCCCCTACCAACTCCATGCCAACCCTTTCTGCAGTTTACACCTGGCATAGAGGATCTGGTTCAATTACTGGAGGTAGATGAAGAAAGAAAGAGAAGCTATACAAATGTTTTAAGAAACGATTCCCATGAAGAGGAACACAACAATGTTTATTTAAAAGAAATAAATAGAATGTTAACCTGAAAAAGATCTGTAATTTAGGTAATCTTATACAAGGTCACCTAGCTAGTTAGTGAATGCAGAAACATGATGAGATTTTGAGTTTCCTGGTTCCCAGTTTAGTGCCCCATCTTTATACTTAACTCCCTACCTTCCCTGGTCACTGAAGCCACATAAATATTATAATAGTCATGAAGTATTCAATTCACAAATGTGAGCTCTTCCTAGTTTACATATTGACATATAGTTCTAGAGAAATTATTAGTGGGAACCACTTTGGTGAGGAGAATAGAGGTTTGGATCCAGCAAAGAGTTTGCTGTTTCTGTCCTCAGAAACAAAGCAGACTCTTTATTCATGAGGTCATGTGAACTGACAGAAATACACGCCCACTCTAGAAGACTGCAAAAATAAAGCCAAAAGGTCCGGAAGGATATACACATTTACAGTTATCTCTGAGTGGTAGGTGGGGAGGATAGGAGGATCATGAAAAGGCGGACTTTATTTTTACTTCATTCCCTACTGTACTGTTTACAACAAGCATATATAACTATTGCAATAGGGGGAAAAAAGCACTTTGAAAGAGATCTTTCCCCTTGCCTAGGGGTTCTGAAAAAGAGAGCAGAAATCAGTTGTGAATGTGTAATCTTCCAATTTGCCTTCACTTAGAAAAGGAGAAAGACCAGTGTCTTTATCACAATTGTTTGCTTGGAATTGTTGCTAATGACCTAAAGAAGAGAGGAGTGGGAGTTGGGAGAGAACAGGTAGGTGAGGTGGAGTGCAGCCTTCAGGGAATAAAGGAAGCTAAGTCACAGTTCCCTCACAGTGTGGAGGTTGTGTGAGTGTGTGTGTGTGTGTGTGG